ACGGCTAGGGTTGAAAGGAGTTAGGGTTTCAAGATGTCTATGGGTTACTACGGATTACTAAAGGTTTCTACAGAATTCTTTAGATGTCTACAGCAAAAAAAAAAATTAGAAAGTCATAATTTTCAATTTATTTTGAAAATAAGGGGAAAAAATAGATTTTATATAATGAAAAAATACGAAAAATGAAAATAAAAAAGAAAAAAGTAACCATAATTTTTAATTTTATGTAGAAAAGGGGAAAAATAGATTTTTATATAATGAAAAATATGAAAGAGAAAGGAAAAAAAACGTGTTCTACGAAAAATTAAAAAAAAAATGGTAGATGCAAATTTAAAAATGTTAAATAATACCATAGTTCATCATAGTATATTTATAATCTGTTGTAATGTTGAATTTGTGAGTAGAGGGGCATTTTTGGAATAAATTTAATAAAGGATGTGAAGCAAATTTTAATTAGACTTGTCATTTAGTTCTAATACGGTTTGTCACCAGGGACTTATATCTTAAGACCCCTTAATTTATTTACCATTTCTTTAATATTAAATATAATATAAATTATTCAACAATTCTAAATATTATATATATATATATATATATATATATATATATATATATATATATATATATATATATATATATATATATATATATTATTTCACTTTATTTTCTGTGGGGTTTTTTTTTTTTTGTTTTTTTTTTTTTGCTCTGTGAGAGCTAATGAAATGTACATTTTGTCACTTGCAACTTTTAATATGTTTACCACCTCTTTTAATATTTTCACCAATTTTTATGTCTAAAATATGTCTAAATATTTCCTAAATTTGCCCGAAAATGGTAAAATAATCCCTTTAAATTTAAAAATTTTAAAGATTTTTTATTATTTAATGTGTACAGTATTCAAAAAAAAAAAAAATCCGGGGGCGCTGCCCCCGAACTCGTAAACTATTAGCCAACCATTATATTTTTTACTATATTTAATTTCGAACACTCTTGGCAAAAATCCTGGATTCGCCACTGCATATATATGTATGTTTGGGTTTGTGTGTGGCTGTGTGGACGAGGACGACTAATTCATGCAGCGAGAGAGAAGATGAAATAAATTCGCGTCAATGAAACCGCGGGCCCATTTTTTTATTTTTTTCTTTAAGACAAATCTTTGACAAATTGCGAAGATGTCCATATACTATACTCGTGCCGAGTTATTACATCGTTTTCTATTTTACTTGGGAAATTGTATTAAATTAAGATTTTTTTAATTTTTTTAAGACGATTACAAAAATTGACTTGCTAGTTGAAGCACGCGTTCATGTGTCCAGAATAATTAGTTAGGTGCAAAAAATTAAAGATTTTGTTGGTTGATTTATTATATAATATTATGTAATATTATATATAAATAAGAGTGCTAAAAAACCTGGTAAATATGAGGGGTCAAATCCTGCACTAAAATTTATTAATCATGCACACAAATTAAAGAGTTTTTTTCTCTTACATTATAAAAAATTTATCTCTATCACTTTTTCTCCTTAGAATATTCTCTCAAAACTACTCAAAACAAAGACGAATTTAACATAATCGTACCAAATTTGTAATTTCAAGAAAGTTTTAAATAATCCTTAATTATTAACATTTTTTTTAAAAATATTTATTATTGATTATTAAATATTTGTACAATATTTATTAAAAAATTGAAACAACAATTTTGATATTAAGTATTTTTAATATTAAAAAAATTTGAAACAATAATTAACATTCATTTAACATCATTAAATAATTATTCTCATTAATTAAACAAATTTATATATAAATAAAAAACTTATATACATTTATATAACATATCTAATATCCATAAATATACCTCTATAATTTTAATATTTACATGATTTCCTCAAGCTTCATTATCCCCATTTTTGGGATATGCCGTTTCCTCGTGTTTGTTTCCATGTATCACTGTTTCCGTGTTACATACATCTATAGTAAGTGGCTTTCAAAATTTCAAATACCCGAGAGTCAACCAAAGTTATGCCGTTTCCCCATGTTTGTTTCCATGCTTCCACGTAGGGGTGAAAGTCGGATGGATCGGATCGGAATCAGCCTTTTTGGAAAATTTTTTAAAAAAAATCGAAAGTACAAAATCAATTCCAATTCCAATTCCAAAATTTTCGGAATCTAAAAATTCATTCCAATTCCAAAAGGCCGGAAATCTCGGAATTTCGGAAAAAAATCGGAAATTACATAAGCTTTAAAATTTCAAAACTTAGCTGAAATTTTCTAAAATATTTATAATTTTTCAAAAATAAGAACATCCACGTCGAATATTTATAATTCCGTTCCAACTTGCACCCCTACTTCCACGTATTAGTGTTTCCGTGCTACATAGCTCTATAGTAAGTGGCTTTTAATTTTCCAAAACCCGAGAGTCAACCAAAGTTTTTGGGGAAAAATTGTTTTGGACCATTTCTCGATTTATATGCTTCCACATATTAGTGTTTACGTGCTACATAGCGGCTTTTAATTTTCAAAAACCAGAGAGTCAACTAAAGTTTTTTGGTAAAAAAAAATTTGGACCATTTCTCGATTTATGCGTGTCATCCTTGCGCAGGGGCCATACTAATCTTTTCTGTATCGTTCCAATTTTATCAGATGTCCCCGAAGGGACAAAAAGTAGTTGCGACGCTTTAATATATATAAGTGGAAATAGAACACTGTTTGTCCGATGTGGGACGGAAGCACAGCCTATATAATTGGGCCGTTAAATTTATCTATTATGGGCCGTTAAAGATTGATTAGCCTTTTAGTGATGGATTTCCACTGTTGGATGGGGCCTAAAATTTTCCTCAAAATTATGTTTTAAAAACATTTATTTATAAACATAAAACATGTAGATAGAATGAAAATATTCAAAACATGAGCATAAGGTTCAGCATTAACTTAGACATATAAAAGTAAAATCCCAACAATAGAAAAAGAAATATAGCTGGAATCAAGCTCAAAATCAATTGAAAATTCGTAAACGGGTTTAGCGTCGAGGCAGATACCAACCGATTAATTTCGCCAATGAATCCGTCGGTGATCATTTTTTTCTATTTTTTTCAAAAGAGGGGGAACCATTAATATTAATAGGAAAAGATTAACATTTATTTCAAGCACATTATATGATGCTTGTTTATCAAATGTTGTAAAATTTGAATCGTAAATCGTAAAATTTTAATACCTATGGTTGTTATTATTCTCTCTTGAGTTTTTTTCTCCATCTAATTAATTGATTATCAAAATACTTTCGCCGAGCTCAATTCCTCCAGCAGGTGATGAGTCGGGTGAGCCAAATGCCAATTGGATCGAAATATCGTGCAAGAAAACAGGAAAAAAAAAAGTTTAATTGGACACGTTCAAATCAACATATTGTACATACCAATTACCCTCATTAGGAGAGTTGGTACATAATCTTACCAATAGGGTAAAGGTTTAGGGTTCGAGTCCCTCCTACCCTACTTCCCCTTGTAATGGACTTGAAATTACTTTAAAGGGTAAAATTCATTTTGCACCCCTGTACTATGAGAAATGTATCGTTTACCCCCCTGATGTATGAAAAACATCAAACACCCTCTGCCGTTAACTTTTTTCTTAAATCCGTTATTCAAACCCTTTGACTGGCTGTTATAAAGACCCGTTGGCTTTTCTTTTTTGACGAAATTACCCCCAATAATTTCTCTATAGATTGTCTAGTTTTAGCCCTTTTTTTTACTAAATTTTCCCTCTTATTCAGCCATTTTTTCACTATTTTCAAGATGTTTTTTTCACTATTTTCACCCATTTTTTCTCTGTTCTTGAATTCTTCATTTATCTTAGATCCACATATTTGTAAACCAACTAACTATGTTTCATATTAATTGTAACCAAACAACTTAATTTTAGATTCTTCAAAAACAACTGAACATGTTTCTTAGTGTTTCCAGCAAAAGCAAACGTATCCAAAAAATTGGCCAATCAAACAAAACCTATATAGAGATTATTGAGGGTAATTTCATCAAAAAAAAGCCAACGGGTCTTTATAACGGCCAGTCAAAGGGTTTGACTAACGGATTCAAGAAAAAAGTTAACGGCAGGGGGGTGGGGGTATTTGATGTTTTTCATACATCAGGGGGTAAACGATACCTTTCTCATAGTACAGGGGTGCAAAATGAATTTTACCCTACTTTAAAAAAAAATCGACATATTTTAGGTTATGAATGGAAAACCAGATTAAATCAAAGTCTCACATATATTGTCGATAAAAAGAAAATAGAAAATTCAAAAATCAAGATTCCGGATTTCAAAATGAAAAATATAATTCCCAAATCAAAACTTTTCGAGATGGTTATGAAATTACGTTCCAATTTTCGGCCCTAGTCATTATTGTAATTAATTTTCACTTTAATGATTATTTGTAATTTCAATCCTTCTCGTCTGTGGGTTAAAAATAAAAAAAAAACAAATTTAATTGGGTATCAATTGTTCAGCCGACATGATAAACAAGCAGAGTTAAAGGCCCATAAAAGCTCTTCCAAGTAATATCGTTGATGCAAATTAAACACGCTTTCCGGTCTTTAAAAAACGGAGAAAGCGCAGTCCCCCTCGATAAAATTAATAATTTGTCTAGTCTCAATTTAGGATCAGTACAAAATTGGACCCAATTGATAAAATAATAAGATAATAATTTTTTTAAAATCCCAGTGTATATATACTGGTTCCAACAAAACTATAAATTGTTTCAAAAAAAAAAAACAAAACTATAAATTAATAATCACTAAAATATTCCAAATTGTAAGATTGTCTAGTAAAAAATGAATTTACAATCACTTGTTTTTTGTTGAACTTCAAATCTATATTGAGTCCATCTTTAAATTCAGGTGTGCCAAATGCCAATTGGATCGAAATACGCACAATGCAACGTCTAATAGAGTTCAGGAAAATCGTACGTTGAAGAAAAAAAACATGTTCAATTGGACACGTTCAAATCGACATATAGTACATTAATGGGCGAATTTTTTTACACGGCCCTACTCTATTTACCAAAATATATATTTTTTTTCCTTACACGCATTACATAATGCAAAGTCTAAACTTTAAAATCAAATAGTTAATTAAACAAGCCAAAAAAAATAATAATAAGGTTATAGTAATCTTCTCGAATACGTGACAGCATGACTTCTGCTTCTGGGGTAATTAATTCCATTTTTACCACTATTAAAAATATCTTGATCACCAAAATTAATATAGGGCCTATCTTCATCAATCCTCCCCATGGCCACACTGCTGCTTCTCGGCGGCATTGCCCGTGGCCCGGCCCCACAGTCCATGTGATCAGCTCTATTTCCGGTACTCCTGGCCGATGCAGCCCGAAAAAGCTCCGGTAAATCCTCATTTTGTGTTGACCGGGCCGAGCTAACGCTGAAGCTCCTCGGCAGGCCCGAACACTGCGAGGTTCCTTGTACGGCCATTACGTTCCCGAGGTTCATCCTGTCGCCGTATTGTGTCAAACCTCTTACATAAAGATCACGGGCCTTGCATAGGGCCCGAATCGGAGTAGTGATGATTCGCATGAACATTTTACGTTGACTTGATTTTGACTTCATCTTCTTAAGCAAAACTCCCACCTTTGTCTTTTATTGTTCTTTATATATATTGGATACCACAGTCAAGCAAGAATTGTAATTGAAGAAGAAAGAAGAAGAATTAAGACAAGCTATGATGTTTCTTGAAAGACAAATATATATATATATATATATATATATATATATATATATATATATATATATATAGATAGAGGTGGCGCGTGGACCTTTTCCATCGCCCACCGGATAAGGGTATATTAATTTTTTCAAGAGTCAAATAAGTTAAAGCTAGTCAGTATAGTCTGCCAAACTTGAAATTGAGACTAACAAATTAATATTGTTTGCAAGAATGTTAAAGTGATGCCGGCTTTAATTAAGATTAATTAATTTATTGTTGTAGTTGAATAATAATATCATGTTTGAATTGATATTTTAATTACTTGCGAATATATGCTGTAGGTCCATAGCTTTGAAATCACAGGTGTGGCATTCATGAAACTAATTAGGGTAAATTACAAATACCTCCTGAGGTATGGTCAAATTACAAAAAATCCCTCATGTTTGGATAATTACATCTACCCCCTTCAACTATGATTTTTTCTTACACCTCCACCCTTATGGTGCCAAATTCAACATATAGATTCCATAAAATGTGTTCTAGTTTGTACTCGTTTTGCGTAAAAATACAGTTTCCGATGCACCACAAACTGATATATACATGCTAAACATCACATATTATGATCATCTTGCTTCATAATGTAGAGTTTGAATGGGATAAAATGGGTACAAAAGTGATAATATTCCATATAATCTTGAAGATTTCACTAAATTTGAGGAGTTGAGGGATGGTTGTAATTATCCAAACAAGAGAGGTGTTTTGTAATTTGACCATACCACAGGGGTGTTTGTAATTTACCCAACTAATTAATTAATAAACTCATCAAAATCTAGTCCAATGAAAATGCACCATAAGTTCACTTTCTTTACTTATAATTTCAAATAAGTCTATTTTTTATTTAGTCAAAAATTGTATGCGCAACGTGGGTAAATTAAATACTACATCCCGTTATTTACATTAGGCAGATTTGAACCATAAATCTACACATAATCACACATACATATTCATGTGTATGTGTGTTTAGTGAATAATTATTTAACATAATCTACGATTAAAATTACCCCAGTGTAAATAATCAGGTGTAGCATATCTAACTCCTCCGCAATGTCCAAATTTTTCGTCATGTAAATATATATTACACTAAATTTTTGTTTAATGGTTATAAAACAACACAATGCACTAGTTCTTTTTTTTTTTAATAGGACAATTAGCTACAAATTCTATGGATGCAACACTCAGGCTTCATACGATTGTCAAGATAAGGTTAACCAATTGTATAATCGAACCTCGGAAGATTCAATAGAACAATATATTCTAAAAGGCAAGATAAGTCATGATAATATAATATTTTCAGGTCGACTCAGGAAGTTATCAAAAATACCAAACATCAAACAAAATCCAATTATTTAGTTAATTATGGCTAATCTCCCTAAATAAACGAGGCCTTAAGCTACAAGTCCTTATTAGCTAGGTGTGAGGATTGCCAAATATTTTCATTAGTTATAAGTTTATCACTTTAGCATTTTTCTTTTTATAAATTTCTTGACTGATTAGTCTTTTAATCATGTTGTGTCTATTTTACCCTTAATTTCTTAAAACCTTTGTATATGAGCTACCGATTATTTCTAAAAAACCAATAAAAATTGTTAGGACTACAAAAATCTATAATAAGAGAGTGAAAAAAAAAAACTCTTATGGTATAAAAAGATGAGGAAATTTCATGTGTTTTGTTGAATATGTATTCTTGTGACTAATGATTTCCGGCGTCTACTTTTGGCCTGTGGGACATTTGAGCCTTCTGATTAGCAAGTAATCATAAATACAATATATATTCTCTAAAAACTAGTGCTCTTATTATTTCACAAAAACTTGCAATTAATATAAGTAATTTGGCTTGTATATTAGAACAGTAATTAAATTATAGGGTCTATTAGATCCCATCAAATGGCGCCGTCTGTGGGAAACTTTGAGTTATAGGCGTGAGTTGTTTGTAACTTTATTTCTCTACTCATTTTATTTTTTTCTCCGTTATTTCATGTTATATAAGTGTATTCAAAAAGTATAAATGCATGTTGAGAATGAGAATTTTGAGGCTCGCCTCGCTGCACCAGAGTCATCATTCCCAAGGAGGGAGGAGCCCCCATGCCTGCGACGCTGCTGGTCCATGTGGCTTCGAGGGGAGAGACCTTGGGAGCGCCCTTGTCTCTCACGATGGAGGAAGTGCAAAAGATACTTGATCGGGCGATAAAACAAGACCGGGCTAGCAGGAAGTCTGTTAAGCCTTGCCTCCTCCGAAGTTCGATAACGGCCGCTGTAATTCCAAGGATAAGACGAGCAGAGAGCCCCTTGGTGGCACCCCCACCCTTCTATAAAGTGCAAGAATGAGGTAATCATTTCTCCAACGATATTATGGCTAGCGACCTAGCAAGAGGATTTCAAGCCTTGGAGCATCTCGCTTATGACCGAACGACAAACCATTGGGACCATACTACAGTCGATTCTCGGATGGGATTAAATGTCGAGCTCTCGCCACAACGTTACGGGAGTCCACTCAATTATGGTTCGCTCAGTTGCTAGAAGGATCCGTGAAAAACTTTGAAATGTTTAGCTCTATGTTGTTAATGTTGGGATGTGGAGCCCAGGAGTCAATGAAAATTCTTAAGAGGTTCTAGATTAGCCGGTTTTAATTTTATTAACATGCTATGATTAGATTCGTTTAAAGCGGAATAAATCTAATCTAGCAAGTTACAATTTTTCGCGAGCAGATTCGTTTCTATCTTCGGCACACGAAAGAGGATCCACACCAAGCCTTCAATCCTCGAAAAACTGTTGTCTAGAAATTTACAGCTCTCTTCCTTCACTGATATCTCCGAAATGGTTGATTGGATTCAGAAACCCTTTGGAAGGATTATACTACTATGGGTTAGGAAGCTCTGTATAAATTTCAAGCCTATCGGATGAACGGTTGATTTATGGTGAATTTATTCGCAGGATTGCACAGAAAATTCGGGAATTATAGTTTGCTCTAAAAGCCTATAATCTTCTATTGTATATCCCGGATTAATAATTCTTCTACAAGGGTGGACTTGTACTTGAAGAAATCTAAATCTATAATCGAGAAATTTAGAGTGTGATGATGCTAAAATATAGCTCACCTAGGGTGGTGTAGAAAATGAACTGGGAGAGCAAAGCAGATCAGTAGCTTGACAACTTGATGATCCTGAGGTACCTGCGATCATAGAACACATAAACTAGGTCGGGGGTTGATCCGGCGGAAACCCCTCCGACGCTCAAGTCAGACGTGCTGATCATAGAAATAGTCCAGAGAATACAGTTGATAGTATTGCTCAGTTAATAGGACGTACCTTAATAAAATGAGGAAAACCTCTATTTATATGTCGTTTATTGGGTTGGGTTTGCTTTGTTGGGCCCAAGCCTTACTTGAAGGTGTTTGGGCCTCGGTGATATTAGTCTTCGACATTGGGCTCGTAGCCCAGTAGGTAAAGTAATTGTAGGCCCATTGGGTTGGCCCAATTAGGCATATCATTAAGCCCCCCACTCTCGAGTCGATGTGGGGGCCATGTTGTGATGGGTCTCAAATCGTGTCGAGAGTAAAAATTGTAGAAGTCGATCATTGGCGTATGGCCTAATAGTATGCGAAAACGCGTTGGAGCGTATGTCGGAGGGGCGTGAATGCGCGTTGGCGCATAACGCGACAAGGTTGTCGCGATGTAAGTTAATTGAGTCGTCGGTTTTGTCCCGCGACGATGTAGTAGAGAATTATCTCCTCGTGGGAGTTGTCTTGTCGCGGGGTAATAGTGTTGATCGAGTTATCTCCTCGTGGGAGTTGTCTCGCGATAATGTAGTAGCACGGATCATGTAATCTCCTCGTGGGAGTTGTCTTTTGGGTAATCGAGTTGATCGAGTTACGTCCTCGTGGATGTTGTCTCACGATAATGTAGTAGCACGGAGCTAGTATTCTCCTCATGGGAGTTGTTATTTTTCGACATTGTCAATGTTTTGACGCGTTGCTTATATGTGTTTACATATAGCCTTGTGCGTGATGTACTTGAGGAGGGGATCAGACTCTCAAGATTATTTTTTTTTTTATGGGGGTCGTGCCCCTTGTTAGACCTCGTGGGTCTTAAGTATGTTTGGACCGTGGCCACGTTTTAATGAATGACCCATCGAAAACAAGTAGATATTTTTGAGTAATCAAGCTGGCCAGGCTATATAGATTCTCATAATGTCTCTAAGTGCTTCTAGGGTTGTAATCGTGCTAACTTGAGCTTGTGATTATATAGTGAATTTCGGGCGAGTTGTCTCCTCATGGGAGTTGTCTCGCGGTGAGTAATATTTATCGAGTGAGGTGGTTGCACGTGGGAGTTGTCACGCTGTGGTGTTGAGATCCGAGGGAGTTGGCTCCTCGTGGGAGTTGTCTCGCAACGGGTTGTAGGATTGAGCGAGTGGACTCCTCGTGGGAGTTATCTCGGTGTAGTTTTGAGACTAGAGGGGGTTAGCTCCTCGTGGGAGTTGTCCCAACGGGTTATAGGACGGAGCGAATGGTCTCCTCGTGGGAGTTATCTCGCTGTGGTTTTGAGACCCGAGGGGGTTGGCTCCTCGTGGGAGTTTCCTTGTAAGAGGTTGTAGGACCGAGCGAGTTGTCTCCTCGTGGGAGTTGTCTCGCTGCGGGTTGTATTACTGCACGAGTTGGCTCCTCGTGGGAGTTGTCTCGCAGGGGAGTTGTAAAAGCATCGGATGGCGCACGACTGAGGAGCGCGCGGACTGAGGTCGCTCTGAGCGAATTGTCTCCTCGTGGGAGTTATCTCGAAACGGGTTGTATGGCCGAGCGAGTTGGCTCCTCGTGGGACTTGTCTCGCTGCGGGTTGCAGTACCGAGCGAGTTGGCTCCTCGTGGGAGTTGTCTCGCTGTGAATTGTGGGACGGAGCGAGTGGTCTCCTCGTGGGAGTTATCTCGCTGTGGTTATGAGACCCGAGGTAGTTGACTCC